GACAGTAAAGCCTCGTGTTGGGTGCCTATAATCCACGAAATAAATCATGTGCTAATGCAAAATGTAACAATTACTGCAGACAACCTGAGATTAGAACGAAAACTCTGCTGCTTTCGAACGGAGAGGAGCCCAGAAGGCTAGAAGACATTATAAATACCTAAAATTACCTAATTAATCTGGCATACCTAGAAATAATCTCTATACTAGTTGTGTATATAATTATATAGAACCTAAAAATGATTCCCTCGCGAACAGAAAACACTATTTGTGGTATAATAACGGCATATATGTTCCCAGCTTCCAGGATGATGCAGAGCCCAACAGAATAAATAATTAAGTTGTGCTCGAAGCCGAAGTTCTGACTTTCTGAAAGTTGCTTCTGTCCGGTCACCCAGCAACTCCTTCTGTGAGCTTCTGATTGACACCTCTCTCATTCCCGACTTTTATCGGTGCTCCATCAACCTTCGAGAAGCTCTGACAGCCTTTGTTGCCACCTTTATTTATCTATTTTAACCACCCCTGTTTGTACATTATTTCTTCTCGCTATATGAACTCCTGTTTGAATACATGACCAACTATATACTGCGGCTCTCATACCATTCCTTTCTTCTTCAGGGCATGAAAGAGATTACAAACAGCAAAACAATTCGCTACATCTTGTCCACTTTGCTGACTATCGGTAACTTCCTTAACAACAGCTCCCTCCGCGGCTTCAATTTAGACTACCTGTCCAGACTGCCCGAGGTGAAGGATACCAAGAACAAGAACAGCCTGCTCCATCATGTTTGCTCCATCGTGTTGGACCAGTTTCCCGACAGCACAGGTGAGCGAATTGATCTAAGCTAAGCAAGCAATGACGCCCCTAGAGTAATAAAACGTATACAATTTGGGTCTTCTGGACTCTCAGCAATCCTATCAAATAGTACGGATTGGCCGGAGGTCATGGTGATTTTCCTTTCGTGTGAAAGTACCGGATGAAGAGATCTGTTGGTCAACCCCATCATAAGACATCGGCTGCTTCGAGGTGTTCTTCGGTTTTTTTAATTTATAATCACGCCCATGCAACTTGAAGGCGTCTTTATCGGTGCTTGTAGTTGGGACAAACACTTCAAGCTAAAGCTTAGTCAAAAGGACTAGTCAGCTCTACCATACACGCAATCTATCTCTCTATTTATCCTTTGATCCCTCTATATCTATCT